CTGACGAAGATCCACACAAAAGGGTATGAATATTTCAGCGACTTCTTAACGCGCTTCTAATTAAAGACTATGGCTTTTGAACCCTCCGGGGACCCGCGCCTCAAGTCTGCAGGCGCGAGAATAAGAAGCGGCCGAGCTGACCCAGCCTAGAGAATCTGAGCACCGAACTTGGGCAACAGCACTCACTCCGAAGGCGGTCACACGGACTTGCTGTGGTTTTCCACCCACTTGGACTTGACCGTGTCACGGGAGCCAAGGATCCCGCGCATCCTATAGGCTATATAAGCCGCGGCTCCGCCAGGCATGGAGTAGTGGGCTGTGCTGCGACTCTGAGCCCGCGGGGACAGTGCCCAGAAGTCAGGACAGACGTTGGCAGCTCCGAGGGCGCGAAGGCAGGTAGCTCTCAGGTGGGGTCGACATCCCCAACCCCACGCCAGTCTCTTGGAACCTCTCTTACATACAAGTGGCCAACCAGTTGAAAGTGGCCTTGGCAGTTATTTGTAGAGTGTCTCAGCTGGCCCTCCCTTGGCTCTCTTTTTCCCGCCTCGCCTGCGCCGCCTGCCCGGCATCGAAGAAGCGAGTGAGTTTCTAGAAACCTGGCATTTGCGAACAGGGTCGGGATCAGGGTGGCACGACGCGGAGGCCTTCGGGTTGGGACTGGGATTAGCCTCCCTACTCGAGCCCGGGGTTCCCGAGCGCCTTGCAGCGCTAGGTACCTGTACCTGGACGCCCTGCACAAGGGCGCCAATGCGGCGCTGAGCGCTCAGGGCGTGCGGCTACTTCTCTGCTTCGGATACAGACTCTGGGCAGCTAAAAGGCGTTCTGCCAGGGTGCGGTCTTCACTTCAGGTCTCTGGAAGGGCAATCAACCCAACAGGGGAGAAAAAGCAGAGTGAGGGGGCGGCATTGATTTAGAAACTTAATTCAAGGAGCCAAAACTGAGCGCATGATCACAAAACTGCATGGCGCTTTCTTTTTTTCTTCTTTTTTGAGGGAAGTGAGGGGGGCACAACAAACAGGGAGTCAAACAACTTTAAAGGATTCACCCCAGACAGTTAAACTGAGCACAGAATCATATATGTGTGTGTGTTTTAATTTTTTTAAAAAGAAAGTCCCTTTGATATACCGTAATATTGTTGTTGTTGTTAAGTGCCGTGGAGTCGGTTCCGACTCATAGCGACCCTGCACAGGGTTTCCGAGGCTGTAAATCTTTACGGGAAGAGAACGCCTCCTCTTTCTCCTGCGGAACCGCCGGTAGTTTCGAACTGCTAACCTTGCGGTTCACAGCCCGATTCGTAACCACTACGCTATAAGATAATGTAATTTATATGAAAAATTACAAGGGCCAGCCCAGTGTGGATGGGATTCAGAGAGTGCCAAACGGAAGGAAGAAATCAATGTAGCCAGGGCATTTAAAGGAGGGAGGTAGAGACGGAAGTTTAAAGTTACATGATCAATCAGTGTTTCGCTGTTGTCCTGGCGGGGGCCCCATTGGAGAGCACTACCAAGCCTGTCGCGAACCTTCCGCAGCCGCTTTTCTCGCCTCTCTTGCCAAGCCTATCTGGCACGCAGGGGAAGCTTCGGCAGTGTAGCAGTGCTGCCCCTGGACTCGGAAAAAATGCCCATGCTTGGGCACTGGAGGTGCCGAAGTGTGCCTGGCGCATGGCTCCTTCTCTGGAACAGTGAAAGGGGAAAGGGGAGAGCATGTTCCGGAGGTGGCCAGTGCAGAGGAGAGCTTGAGAGATTGAGTAAATGGGTGCCTTCCAGCGCCAGGTGGCCGGATCTGACCTCAGCTTAAGTGGGAAGCTGATCGCTTTTCTTTGCCTCCCAATACCCCCCCCTCCCCTACCTCTAAGGATCTCTGGTAGCTTAGTGGTTACGAATGGGGCTGTGAACCTTAAGGTCAGCAGTTGGAAACTACTAGCTGTTCCGCGGGATAAAGATGAGGCTTTCTGCTCCCATAAAGATTTACAGCCTCGGAAACCCTTTACAGGGTAGCTTGAGTCAGAACTGACTCCATGGCACATAACAACAACAACAACCCCACCTCTGGTCATTTTAAGGAGTGTCCTCCCCTCCTCCCCCACCAATGCTCTGACTTTCTTTCTCTCCTCCTCTCCCTCCATCTCCTTTCTTCTTTCAGTAAACAAAGACCTGAGAGGGTGCTCAATTTTCCATCAGCTTCATTCCTAACTTAACACACCATCCTGACCCTTCCTATGCAAACGGAAATGAGTGGACCAAGGTGTTCTGTCCTGCTGGGACTGGTGCTCTTGCTGGTGTCCATGGGACCATGCCAAGGGAGTATAGAATCTCGAGAACTCACAAACAGACAGACTCTTTTAAGCATCATCATGGAGATTGTTGAGGGACTTAAAAACTGCAACTTGGAGGACTACAAAAGATTGCACTTTTTCAGTAAACCTGACTTTATTTTGGATGAGAGTGAAGTCACTGACTACGTAGATGGTCCTGAGGGGCAAAGAGCTGGTAAGTCATCTCCTTTACATTATCTCAATAAATCGTACACACACACATAACACATGCACACACACACTTCTCATTCACACTTACACAGAGACACTGACACATATAATCATGGACTACTTTTTAGAAACTTCAAACTTGAGTATTTTTATTTAACTTGCATATAAAGGAAAACGCTAGAATTTGTATTTGGCTGAAAGAAGTGTGTTTTTAAAACCACATTTCAAAGAGATGTTAATCCTGATTTTTAAAAAAAAAAACTTCTAAAAGAAATATAAAACAGTAAGAAGTGTATGCACACATAATCATAACTTGCCCAATTCTTAGATGTCTGATTTGTTACCAGAGTCAGTAATTTCTGAATAGAACTGTCATCTGTTATTTTGGAAATGGGAATATTTTCAGCAAAGCAGTTCCAACTGAAAAAATGGTTTCAGAGCTCTCCTCCTATGGTAGAGCCTTTCCCAGAGTGACGGTCCCATGGGAAATTTCTGAGGGAAGCATGTAAGCTTAAATGCTTTTCATATCACAATTAGTTCAAGTATGATAAGGGCAATTTTATACAGACTGTCTAAAGTTAGGAATAAATGAAGACTGATATCAGGGAGATGTCTAAACCTTGCAAGTGAGTAGATTTTAATGGAAGTGTTTTTTCAGATGGGATTTGGGAAGGAGCTAAGGAGTATTCGTGGAAAATAAAATTTGACATCACATACAATCAACACTAAGTTCTTAGCACAAGATGATATGTGAAAATGATTAAAGATGACTATAATAAACAAAGGCTGAAATCAGAAAGGTCAGAAAACCATTGCTATTAAACAAGTGTAAAACAAGAAATGTTGTAAAAGAAGTTGCTTGAAAGAGTTTTCCTTGACAATTTTGTTTATCTTGTATACAAGCCTAATGTGTATTTCTGTTTATTTACACTTGCCTTCTCAATAGGTGGTTTTAGTTCAATTTAACCTTTATCTAAATATTTACTAGAAAAGGTAAATTCTATAATGCATTTATTGTTTGAAGGGTCAGATTTTCCTCCTAGAACTTTGAGAGGCTATGGCATTTGATTTCTAAGGTCTGAAAAATAAAAATATCTAGAAGTGATTTATTGACTGGAAGCTCACTGTCAAAGCATAAACTTCCCCAAAAACTTTATGATCACTGTCCGTATTATGGTGATAGGGATAGGAAAGATAACATTGGAGCTTTGTGCTCCCATTAATAAATGGGAAAAAAAACATGCACCGGAATGCAAGTTTTCATACTGTCATGTATAACAATCAAATGTGGCTCGGATCTGTTTTATTTAACTAATAATCTGACTGATGCAGAATTTCCAGAAACTTTCTTCAGCCTGAACTTAATGATACATGAAAACAAAAATGCTTCTTTCAGGTAACATGATAATAATTCACTTCTTATTTCTTTACCCTGAAACAGAAATTGTTGCTCGTGATCTAAGGATGAAGGACAAATTCATAAAACATCTTACGGGTAAGTTTTCTTCTAAATACCTTTACCTTTGCAAATTCCAAATTGCTTTGCAACTTGCTGAATCCTCATGATCGATTTTTTTCTTCCATGTTACAGGTCCCCTTTATTTTAGCCCAAAGTGCAGCAAACACTTTCATAGAATTTATCATAACACGAGAGACTGTACCATTCCTGCACGTAAGTGACAAATCTGCAAATTACTAATGAGTACAGTGTAGATGAATAACATCTGAAATATATTTAATATCCTTCAATTAAATATCTATCTATCTATCTATCTATTTCTTCTTAACTATGGAGTTAGGGACCAGGGCATCCAGCTCATTGAAGTAGATAACCAAATTCTACAGCAAAGTGTGACACAAAATTGAAAATTATTTATGTTGTTTGGAATTCATTAGTCCTTGGAATAGGCCCCTTCCATTCACATTCTTGCTTTGTTTATGTATTCTGTATTACATCTGTATCTACTAAATGATGACAAACACACGTTAAGATGGATTGTTAACATTGCTACTGCTGAGTCAATAGTCTGGGAAGCAAACAAAATCAGATTAATTTGAACCATTCTGGGTGAACTTTCTTGACCATACCTGGAACCTTGAGCAGAGACTTTTTTCATCAGTAATCGTAATCTCATCTATCAGTAATTTTATTGCTATTTCAAAACCCTGCTTTTCTGGCTGCCTTTATCAGTGGATCAGAAATGCATAGCTATCCTCATCAGTCTAGCTCTCAGCTATAAAATTTTCTCCTCCTTAGAGGTTTCCTTTCATTGACTAGTATAAAAATGTCCCTGGGAGTTCTGGTGTGGGGTTGAGGGTTAATGCACTGAACAGCAGTGTCTGTTTAACTTCAAGGTCGGTGGTTCAAGTTTATCAGTCACTCCTCAGAAACCCTATATAGGGTCGTTTTGAATTGGAACCGATTCGATGGCACTTAACAACAACAATCTTTCTCTTCAACATGGCTCTTCTGGCTATGTATCCACAGCAAAGTGTATTTTGTTTACTTTAAGGGGCTCATGTTGCTCTTTATACCTCACATAATATTAGCAAGTAATTTATTATATATCTACTAGAGCTCTAAACCAATTTTTTAATAGGGACTAAAACTTTTAAATCTGGGAAGACAAAAGTCTTACAAGTATGTTTGGTATCTTACTGGTCACTTTCAGAGAATATCCAGAGGGGCAAGAAGATCAGCTGGCCATTTTTACCTGCCCTGCCTTTTAAAAGTCATGAAATGACTTTGACATGAAGTAGAAGTTTTTTCTGTTTAAATCAGTGAAATTAACCCACATGATAACAGCTCTAATTTATTAGAACATTTATATGCACTAGCTATTTAGCTACTAACATTCACAAACATTCTATCCATTCATATTGACAATCCAGTAAGGTAGGAATTATTGTAATTTCAAACATGAAACTGTGGCACACATAGGTGAAACATATCACATGACAAGCAAGCTGGACTAAATGGGATTCAAATGTAGATCTTTCTGGCCACACTCTTATCACCATAGCATACTAACTCTAAGGCAAGCAGCAAACATTTCCCAAGCAGTTTTGTTTTATCATGTTCAAGCACTAAGTTTCAATTTCACTCTTCGTTCATGGCATATATATCAAGTATACCACTGCTTCTTAATTCCTTCCTTTAAAATAGAATCACTTTCTGCTTGACAATTATTAAACTGCTTCCTGGAGTCAGAAAATTTTTTAAAAAAATCTTTATTGTTAAAAGTTGATTTTCATGTGAAGCATGCTGTTATTGCTAAGTGCTATTGAGTCCGTTTGAATTCACAGTGACTGTGTATAGGGTTTCTGAGGAGTTGGTGCTGGGTTTGAACCACTGACATTACAGTTATCAATCCAGTGCATATCCTACAGTGCTACATCAGGACTCCATGTGAACAAAACATTATAATAATAGAGTCAAAGATTACCAGTTGAAAATGATCTTAGGAATGATTACAACCAATCTTTTCACGTATGGATGAGGAAACAGACTTAAAAGTTGACACTGTACACCTTCACACAGATCTTCTCAAAGCTAGGACTAAAACCTCATGTTCTGACTTTCCAATTCTTTTCTAATGCATTATGTTATGCTCCATAAAGCCTATCTCTGGTGGACTACTGACAGATCTGTACATTCATATGAGGGGCTATTAACTTGGCTTACATCTCTACTCAGGCCATAAAAAGTTGGAGAGCTACAGTTAGGCCACATATATGCTACTGCATAAGAGAAAATTAATAGAATCCTGGAATTTATTAGACATTAAAGGAGCCATAGAGTCTTCTTACTAGAAGTGTGGATTCCAGGACCAATAACCTTGGTCTCTGGCTAAAAATGCAGAATTTTAAGTACCACCACCAAACCCACTGAATCAAAATCTGAATTTTAGTACGATTCCATATTATTTCTATGCAATATAACATTTCAGAAGTATTGTCTTAAAGAACATTCATATCTAGTGGGAACATGTGATCAGTTATAGGATTTCCAGATATGTTTCAAATGGGCAGTATTTAGAGTTCATTGATTGGATTAATCCGTGAATTGACATAATGCACTATCTCCATGTTAAATGATCTATTTATGACCATTTTATTATAAAAACTATGGTGCCATTGATGAAAAAAGCAATAAATCCAGGAGTCCTGATGACCCTCCTTCTAACTCAGGATCATCTGTCTTCTTTGAACTCAAGCTAACTGTACTCTTAGTATTTAGAGGGTATATTTTTAGAAGTAGAGTTAACTTCTTATTTGTTGGTCGTATTGTACAGACTTTTAAGTTGTCAACCTTTACTCATTCATTCAGATTTTCAAGTTAGGAGTATGAATTCTTCCATGTTTAAGTGGAATTTTGCTGCTCTCAGGAAGTAAATTTTAGTCATTTATAAACTGGTACAGCTTTCCATAGAACTTCATCTTAAGAAAATTCCATTTTGGTGGTTCATCGAGTCTATTCTGATTCATAACAGCCGTATAAGACAGAGTAGATTTGCCCCATAGGGTTTCCAAGGCTGTAAATCTTTACAAAAAGTACACTGCCACATCTTTTGCTGTGTAGCAGATGGTGGATTCAAACCATTAACCTTTTAGTTAGCAGTTGAGTGCTTTAACCATTGTGTTACCACAGCTCTTTCCATGATTATTGTTGTTAAGTGTTGTTGAGTCAGTTCTGATTGATACCAACCCTGTAGGGGGTTTCCAAGGAGCACTGGTGGATTTGAACCACCAACCTTGTGGGTAGTAGTCCAAAGCTTATCCTGCAGCCGCACACCAAGACCTCACTTATTTTCAGTAACATTTATCAGAATAGTGAAATGGGAAATTATGAAGGAAAACCAGCCTGCTCTCAGAATTGGTCCATTACTTGCTTTCGTCATCCAGTCTAGGTTTCTCTGCTTTCTGACTTGCCTTTTGATCCATTTTCTTTAGAATTTTAACACAGAAGGCTTTGTGATCAAGTTAGCTGGGGTCTGAGTCTGCACACGACCTACAAGTTAGGTTACACAGGGATATGGTTAGACCCTCTCTCCTGTGTCCTGGGCAAATCTGGTGTTGTTTGGATAAACCTGAGAGCCACTGAGAGAATAAAATAGGCTGAGAGAGCAGCTGTGCAGCAGACTCTGCTTTCACCCCTTCCTTCTGTCCACTCACACCTCCCTCCACTATGTGATGCTGCAGCCCCTAACTACCAGAAACTGTGAAATCAACAATTTAGAGTTCTCGATGGTAAATGACTTTTCATGTTGCTTCCAGGGAATTCAGAATATATTTTTTAAATAAACCGATTTAGGAGTTGATATACTTGCAAAAACAATGACTTTTATTTATTTTATAAAGAAGTGTTGTTCAGGTAACTGACAAGGGTCTGTGATTAATTTCCACCATAGACTATAAAAGATGTGCCAGACTTCTTACTCGGTTGGCTGTTAGTCCAGTTTGCAAGGAAGGATAAGGTAAGCTCTTTGACAGCAGAATGTCATTGGCACACATACCAAATATTGCAATCCCATTTGGAACATGAAAAATTTGTAAGCGTTCAGAAAGACTTATTCTTAACCAAGGCTAACATTACTTTGAGTAAGGTTGATATAACACTCAAACTATCTCAAAATGATTATAAATAACCAGTGATAACCTTAAAAATAAAAGAATTATGATATGTGTTAGAAGTTTCTCTTCACATAAGTCACTATGGTTGTTGGACTTAGTTGTTAGAATGGGCAGTAATTGTGTTTGTTTTGGCCAAGAAATGGCTAATGTTTGAAACACTGATATTTCTGCTATCTTTAAAAATATCATATTTTTTTCAATAATTTTCTTCCAATTCCAAAGGTTTAAAATTGCAATGATAAATTATATTAACTGGTTAGGCCTTTATTTATTTGAGAGCAACAATATAGATATACTCAACAGTATAATATATTGCAGGTTCGTTTTAAAAAATCAATTAAACTTTTGGAGGTCCAAGAATAATACATACACACACATCACTTTATAATATGGTACAATACATACTTTACTGGCTACCGCTTGATATTTTCTTTATGGGGCAGTAAGCTCCATGATAGCATTCTACTATACCCAAAATGTCTTCCTTTTAATATGTGTTATTAATATATAACTTAATATGACTAAGCACACAGTATGCTTCATCTTCTTACTTCAGAAAATAAGGTCATTTTCTTAAAGATGCAGGTATTTTAAGGGTCTTTAGCACAGTGACTAGAGTCCTGGTGTGGCACTTTGGATTACTACAGTATGCAAAGTCGTATGAAATGCAAGGTCGGCGTTTCTAGGTAACCAGCTGCTCCTTGGAAACCCTATTTGGGGTAGTTATGGGTTGGAACCAACTCTACTTAACAACAACAGCACAGTGACTGGTACACATTTATGTGATCACAGAGCAAATCCCTTTGTCTAATTCATCTTCAAGTCCATTAACTGATCTCCTTAGACTGTTGTTGCTGTTGTTATGTGCCGCAGAGTCGGTTCCGACTCATAGCGACACTGTACAGGGTTTCCAAGTCTGTAAATCTTTGTGGGAGCAGAAAGCCTCATCTTTCTCCCGCGGAACAGCTGGTAGTTTCGAACTGCTGACCTTGCTGTTCGCAGCCCGATTCATAACCACTACGTTACCAGAGCTCCTTAGACTATAGAGAATTGATATTCCTAACAAAAGTACCACAGGAAGACTTTCTCTCACCCACAGCACTTCATTAATCTGTATTTTTCAGGTAAGTTAAATGAAAAGCCTGAGCTCTGGAATACTTTTTTTAAAATGTAGTTTTGTACAACAAATATCTAAGACAACTCCAGTACAGTTTGTAAAATGCTGCCTAGCAATAGTAAAGTAGAAATCATTATTTTAAAAATTAAGAATAATATATGTCAATCAATAGTTTAGGTCTATGTTGAATCCCAGAAAAGTTGACATTTGATCTTTACTAGATAATTAGCATCACCATTATTGCTAATAGGGACGGCATAATACCAATCCAATTTTTTCAGGATTGCCACAAACAGAATTACTAAAGATTTTAACTACAGCAAAAATAGCAAAACTAAATATTATGCCTTCACTTTTATTTGAGATGATTTTCAATCTTTCAGTGAATTCTTTTCTTACCATCTATGTGTCAGCCCCAGGAAACATATCAGGCACTTAACTATGGAACTATAGTACTGTCCAAAACAGAATAGATTACAATTTGTTCTTGTTGTTGCTAAGTGTTGCTGAGTCAGTTCCAACTCATAGCAACCCTGTAAAGGGTTTCTGAGGAGCAGCTGGTGGGTTTCAACTGTTGACCTTGAGTATCAGATCCCAGGGCTGACTCTATAGCACCATATCAGGAGTCGCAATTGCTTAGAAGAGAGAAATTCAGCGATTTCTTAAGTTTGTAGAAATATTGAATGTAGAAATTTCATTTAACTTATGGGTGTCTAGAATTACTGTGAAAAGTATGAATAGCTATAATAAACTGAGTAATAATATAATAAATATACTTATTTTCAGCAGGAAGAGAGCGGTAAAGAAGCAACACCCCAAATACCATGAGAAGTGCCTTGGAAACCAACAGGGAAATATAACTTAGTATCTTTATAAACATATTCCCTTGTGAACCAGAGATTTATTTTTGCAGACAGACTCTTCCATGATTCCTTTGAGTTTTCTATGTTGACAGTTTGCAGATATATACTCAGTATATTAGTATACCTGACAGCGATTGGTATCACGCTATTTTAGAAAACAAATGATCACATGCCACATTTGATGTGTAGTTCTACAAAATGACAGAATATTTCATTCTCCTGATTAGTTGAAATCACAAACAATATTTCTTTAGAAATATAGAATCTGAAAACCATATTTTCATATATGATATGATATGATTTGATATTTTTATTACTTTTACATTTCCATTCCCAGAGCATTATTTGAAGTTGCATGAATGAAAAATAAAATTTCAGTTATATTTTGGAAACAATGGAGAATAAATCTGTGAACAACCTATCCAGACTAAATTCATTTGTGCACTGTATAATGTATGTAACATAGCATTCCAGCTATCGTGTAATATGTAGATATTGTAAATAAGCACAAGTAATAAATGAAGTGTTTATTGTAACGAACAGTCTTCCAAGTAATTTTTTACTTCCATTTAAATAAGTTAATTGTTGGGAATCATGATTTACAAACTTATTGAGTGAAATCAACACAGGCAGACCATCACAGAGTACTTGGGGCATAAAGTTTCATTATGAAACTCAAATGCTAAGAATTCCTTAAAGGAACAATTAAATTAGTACTATTTATTTAAGTTGTTATGTTGTTAAGTGCTAATCAGTCAGTTCTGACTCTTAGTGACCCTGTGTACAACAGAACAAAACACTGTCTGATCCTACAGCATCCTCACAAGTGTTATGTTTGAGCCCAGCATTTTGGCTACTACTGTATAAATCCAACTCTTTGGAGGTATATATTTTTTGCTGAATCCCTCACTTTACCAAAATTGTCTCCAAGACAAGTCCTTCTTGACATTACGTCCAAAGTATAAGAAATATTAGTCTCTCCAACATCAGTCCTAAAGAGCATTCGAGAGTACCTATTCCTTCTTCTGGCAGACCATGGTACTTAGAATATTCTTCATCAACGCCATAATTCAAATGCTTTGATTCATCAAACCTTCCTTATTCATTATCCAGCTTTCTCATACAAATGACGTGATTGGAAATACCATTACTTGAGACATATGCACCTTTGTCCTCAAGTGACACATCTGCTCTTTAACACTTTGCTGTTTTTGAGTTGTTAGGTGCTAATGAATTGGTTGTGACTCAGAGCGACCTTATGCACAACAGAACGAAACACTGCCAGGTCTTGTGCCAAATTCAGTCATTGTTAAGATTGAGCCCATTGCAGCTGTGCTAATACAACTAGTTGGGGGTCTTCTTATTTTATTTCTGACCTATTACTTTACCAAGTATGATGATCCCTTTATAGGGACTGGTACTTCCTGATTGTTGTTGTTGT